GATCAGAGGACATAGCAGATGTTTCAAGCCATTTGTTGCAAATCGTGTTGGTGAGATTCAAAACATGACAAACCCTGAGCAATGGAGATATGTTCCCACGAAGGATAATCCTGCTGATCACTTGACAAGAGAGATGGTAGCATCTGCGTTGGCAAACAGTGAGCAATGGTGGAAAGGACCAGAATTCTTGGAAATGGCTGAGGATGAATGGCCTAATAATCAATTTGAGATGTCAATGGAAGCAGTATCGGAGCAGAAGAAGTCTGGTCGTTCAAAGATGAAGTCCGTAACAGAAAATCATGAAGAGAAACAATCATTGTTTGCTGATGCAGTTAGCAAAAAGAAATCTACGACTGGTGAACAAGTGGAACCAAGTAAACTGATGAAAGCGGGTAAGGAGAATTCTTGGTATTTGGATCCTTCTCATTTTTCAAGCTGGCTTCGACTTACAAGACTTGTAGCATGGGTTTGCCGTTTCTTGGACAACTGTCGAACAGCAAAAAAAGAAAGAATTAATGGAGAATTGACATATGAAGAGATCAAAGATGCAGAAATTCATATCATTCGAGACGTGCAGCAAAATGCATTTGCAACCGAATACCAGCAACTGTTGAAAGGAAAGCAAATGAAGAGTGACAGCAAATTGATTGTGTTACAGCCACGAATCGATGAAGATGGACTTCTACGGTGTAATGGAAGATTGAGGTATGCTGACTTCCTGCCATACGATGCAAAATATCCTATTATTCTACCAAGGAAGAACTGGGTTACAAAGCTGATCGTGAAATTCTATCATGAAAAGGATCATCATGCAGGTGGCACAAATCAGACATTGGCAGCTATTTCGAGTCGTTTTTGGATAATTTCAGCAAGAGAAGAGATAAGAGAATGGGAAAACGAATGCAACTGGTGCAAAAGACGAAAGGCGAGGGCATGCAGTCAGATCATGGCACCCCTACCAAGCATTAGATTGGCAATGTCATTGCGAGCCTTTGAAAGAGTAGCTGTAGATTATGGAGGACCATTCATCACCATGCAAGGGAGAGGTAAGCGAAGAGAAAAACGATATCTTTGTCTTTTCACATGCCTAGCTACCAGAGCAGTACACTTGGAAATGGCATTTGCCCTGGATACTGATTCATTCTTGAATGCCTTTTATCGAATGGTGAGTCGTCGTGGGAAGCCTGAAGAAGTTGTTTCTGACAATGGTGGCAATTTCGTAGCAGCTGACAAGGAGCTACAGGAGCTCGTTAAAAGATTGGACCAGAATCGAATCATCCAGAGTGCTGCAAATCGTGGTATCAAATGGCATTTCAATCCTCCTTTGTCACCACATTTTGGAGGAGCTCATGAAATTATGATCAAGGCAGCAAAACGTGCGTTGAAAGGAATCCTGACAGATGCAAATGTGTCCGATGAAGAGTTGATGACTGCCATCACAGGAGCAGAATCGTTGCTGAATTCAAGACCGCTGACATACCAGACAGCAAATGTGGATGATGATGTGCCTTTGACCCCGAATCACTTTCTCCATGGCCAAATGGGAGGCAGATTTGCACCAGAAACGGTAGACCAGACAATGTTCAGTCCAAGGAAACGATGGCGACGTGTTCAAGAACTGGTGAAGCACTTCTGGCAACGTTGGTTGAAAGAATGGCTACCAGGACTAAATCCAACGACAAAATGGCACAAAGAGAAGAAAAATTTGAAGGTAGGGGATATTGTTATTGTTATATCGCCTGATAGCCCCAGAGCTCATTGGCCCCTTGCAAAAGTCACCCAAGTATTTCCTGGAAAAGATGGAAAAGTGAGAGTGGCACAAGTACAACTGGGAAAAAAGCTATTGCAGAGACCAGTGACAAAATTATGCCTTTTGGAGCATTGTTGAATGGTTGCTGGTGGCATTTGTTAATGGATGTATTTTTCTTGATGTGACGTTGCAGATATCACAAGATGAAGGATTTTCAGTTGACATGCATAGCTGTCAAGGAGGGGGAGAATGTTCAGAAGACAGACATGTGATACTTTCATTCTTGTAATTGTTGATTGGAACAATAACTTTTACGCGTCTGTACACAATAGTTGTTTGAGCAAGTTGTTTTGCGTTAAATTGGACAATGGTTGGTAAGTAGAGAGTGTTAATGTGTTTTTAGAGGACAGTATTTGTTAATCCCTTGCGTAATGGACAATCAAACTAGTGACAATATTTTAAAGTTGTTTATGTCGTTAATAGTATAAATTAGGTTCGTATTCGTAGTTAGTTAGTTAGTTTTTAGCCTTCGGGCTTAAGGATCAAAAGTCGCGGACGGTCTTTCAAACACACGGATAGTTGGCAACCGTCCACGGATAGTTTACAACCGTCCACTGATAGTTTGTAACCGTCCACAGATAGTAGGTAACCGTCCACGTATAGTTCTGAACCATCCACTGATAGTTGGTAACGCGTCCACAGATAGTTTGCAAACGTCCCACTGAATAGTTGTAACCGTCGACGGTTAGTTGGTAACGCAGGTCACGGATAGTTCTGAACCATCCAAGATAGTTGGTAACCGTCCACGGATAGTTGGTAAACCGTCACGGGAATAGTTTGTAACTGCCACGGATAGTTTGCATACCTGTCCCGGATAGTTGGCAACCGTCCACGGATAGTTTGCAACCGTCACATTATAGTTTGTAACGGTTCCACGTAATAGTGGTAACCGTCACGGAAGTTTTTGAACCACCATCGGATAGTTGGTAACCGTCCACGTATAGTTGGTAACCGTCACGGATAGTTTGCAACCGTCCACGGATAGTTGGCAACTGGTCCACGGATGTCGGTTAACCGTCACGGATTAGTTTTGTAACTGTCCACGGATAGGTTTTGCAACCATCCACAGATAGTGTGGCAACCGCCACGGGATATGTTTGCAACCGTCCATGATGAGTTTGTAGACTCACGATGTTCCAAGCGGATAGTTTGCAACGCGTCCACGGATAGTTTTGGCAACGTCACGGATAGTTTGTAACCGTCCACGCATAGTTTGTAAGCCTCCCGAGTCATGTTGTTAACCGTCACAAAGTGTAACGTCACAATTTTTGTAACCGTCCAGGGATAGTTTGCAACTGACCACGGATAGTTGGGACCGTTCCGGATAAGTTTGCCAACCGTCCACTGATAGTTTGTAACCGTCCACTGATAGTTGTACCGTCCATGGATAGTGTGTACTCGTCCACGATAGTTCTGAACCATCCACGGACAGCTTATGGTAACTACGTCCCAATAGTTGGTGAACCGTCACGGATAGTTTTGTATCGTCCACAGATATGTTCGAACATCCACGGATAGTTTGGCAATCCGTCTTACGGAAGTTGGAAACCGTCATGGATAGTTGTAACTGTCGCACGATAGTGTTGCAACCGTCCCATGGGATATTGTGGCAACTCGTCCACGGATATCTTGGAACCGTCCACGGATAAAATTGTAATCGTCCAACGGAGTTGTGTAACGTCCATGGATAGTTTCTGAACAATCAGGCAGTTCGGATAGTCGAACGCCACTGGATGTTGGTAACAGTCCACGGATAGTTTGTAACCGTTCACGTGGATAGTTGGAACGGACGTTTAATACCAAAAATCATGGATAGTCCTGTCTGAATACGATAACCGGTACCCCACGGATGGTGGTAAACCGTCACCGAACTACCGCTCATGTGGTAACGTCCATGATAGTTTGAACCGATCCAGGCTATGGATCGAAGTTTGGTAACCGGGGCCGTCCACGGGATGAGTTGCCTGCGTAACAAGTACCCACCGTGGGATAGAATCGGGGTTTTAACAAATGCGTCCCACGAGGATAGTTTCTGAGAAACATGCGACGTTACAAACTAAACTCCAGACTGGAAGCGAGAGATAGTGTTTGGTATACTACGGTTGCAAAACCACCGGTTTTCGGCGACAAACACGTTCCATGTAATATCAGTCGTTGGGGACGGTTCAATATCTGGACTTCTGCGGTTAAACTATCAGTTGGATAGTATGGGATGCAGGTTGCCAACTATCCACAACGTCCATCCACGGATAGATTGTTAACGACGGTTACCCAACTACGTTGGTGGTTGCAGCCACAACTATCCCGGCAGTCTTCGACTATCCGTGGACAGTGAGGTAACGGGGTTACACCAACTATTCCGTGGGAGGGAGGTATTTGCGGACGGCTTACAACCAATACATCACCGTTGGATGGTGTAAACGGCGGGGCAAGACGTATCGGCAATCGGGGGGTAAACAAGGCAGGAAAGGGACGCGAGATTTACACAAATAATCAATAAACACGAATAAACCGCACGGAAGGTACGGTTACAAGGATAGATACTCATCTGGCCATACCGTGGAATGGTTACAGAGCAAATACCATAATCCATGGACGTTACCCTCGTCGGGGCCAGTTTCGGGCGGTCGGGTGTCGATGTAGTTTGGGCGGCATCTTTAAGTCCTGGTTCTGCAGCGCTGGCAGAATTGTTTGTGGGCCTACACTGGTTGTCCGGTTGTCGCCGCGTGGATCAGTTTGAAACACCGTTATCTGTCCACGTGGATCTGGTGGGTGTGTTGGATTCGTGGTGGGGTATTGGGGAGATTCGTGGAGTGGGTTAGAGTTTGGCACCGTCGTGTCGTGCACCTGTGTGTACGCGGATCGTTGGGCTGTATTAGGTGTCTGGGTCGGGGTTTGCATAAAGGAGTCTCATTACTATACGGTGTATGTTTGGGGAATAGTTGTAGTAGTACCGAGTTAGGAAATATGTAGTCTGCGCACGGATATTTTAACGCGTGCGGGTGGTCCAGTGAATAGTGCACCGTCACGGATAGTTGGCACCGTGGTCCACCGGATAGTTGGTAACCGTCTACGGATTAGTTTGTAACCGTCCCGGATAGTTTTGAAACCGTCACGGCATAGTTGGCGAAATACGTTGTCCACCCCCACTATGTGATAGTTACCTCATCGGTCCACGTGGATGCAGTTCTAGGTCTACCTGTTGTCCCATCCTCAGCGTGATGGTAGGACTACCCCGTTATCTGGTTGGACGTACCTGGGCCAAGGTTATACATAGTCTTGCTGTGAACCAAACCCTGATAGAAGAATGTTGATGAACCGTCCAATCAGATGTTGAAAGCGTCTCCCGGCACGGATAGTTTGTAAACGCGGGTTGGGTCATCCAAACGACTACACGGGTAGGTGGTCTCTGAACACATCTAGTGCGAACGGTTGCTCGCAGCGGGGGATCAATGACTAAGGATAGTTCTTTGTGCGTTTTGAAATCCCTCGTAGACAGTTCAATTCGATAGGTTGCAACTACCGCTGGCGTTAAACAACCGTCGGCGGGTTTACTTGTGATTTCAAAACATCGTGGAGGTAATTTAGTGGATGTAAAACCTATAAGTGGACGGTTGAACATCCGTGGCGTGCCCACCTATCGTGGACGGTAGCAAACTATCCGTGGACAGTTTACAAACTGAACCGTGACGGTTACAACTACTCACGTAGTTGGACAGTGAACAGGGCTGTTACCAAGCTATCCACGGGATAGTTGGATAACCTGCGCACGTGGTAAACCCCAGGATGTTTGTAACTGATCCGACGGTGTTTGACCAGTCAAACGATGTTGGGCACAACCGACTACACAGATAGTTGGGAACCGTCCACGGATAGTTTGTAACCGTCCATGATAGTTGGCAATCGTCCACGGATAGTTTACAACCGTCCACTGATAGTTTGTAACCAATCCACGGATGTTGGTAACCGTCCACAGATAGTTTGTAACGTCCGGACAGTTGCAACGTCCACGGAATAGTTTGCAACCGTCCACGGAAAGTTTGCCAACCGGTTCACTAATAGTTTGTAACGCCACTGGATCGTGGTAACCGTCCATGAATCTGACATCACAATAGTTGGTAACCGTCCACGGGTAATTGCAACCATCCACGGATAGTTTGTAACCGTCCACGGATAGTTGCAACCGTCTCACGGCATAGTGGTACCGTTCCACGGATAGTTGGTAACCATCACGGATAGTTTGCAACCGCATGATAGTTGCAAACGTCCACGATAGTTTGCGACCGTTCCACTGATAGTTTGTAACCAACCACGAATAGTTGGTAACGTCCACGATAGTTGGTAACTGCCACGGATAGTTCTAACCATCCACGGATAGTGGGTAACCGTCCACGGATATTGCACCATCCACGGATAGTTTGTAACCGTCACGGATAAGTTTGCAACCGTCCACGCATAGTTGGTAACGTCCACGGATAGTTTTAACCATCCACGGATAGTTTGCACCGTCACCGATAGTTGGCAAAAGTCAACGGATAGTTGGTAACCGTCCACTGATAGTTTGTAACCGTCCACGGATAGTTGGTAACCGTCCACGGATAGTTGGTACCGTCACGGATAGTTGGTAACTGTCCACGGATAGTTCTGAACCATCCACGGATAGTTGGTAACCGTCCACGGATAATTGGCAACCATCCACGGATAGTTGTAACCGTCCACGGATAGTTTGCAACCGTCACGCATAGTTGGTAACCGTCCACGATAGTTTGTAACCATCCACGGATAGTTTGCAACCGTCCACCGATAGTTGCAAAAGTCAACAAGATAGTTGGTAACCGTCCACTGATAGTTTGTACCATCCACGGATTAGTTTGCAACGTCCACGCATAGTTGGTAACGCCACGGATAGTTTGTAACCATCCACGGATTAGTTTGCAACCGTTCCACCGATAGTTGGCAAAAGTCAACGGATAGTTGGTAACCGTCCACTGATAGTTTGTAACCGTCACACGGATGTTGTAACCGTCCACGGAAGTTGGTAACGTCCACGGATAGTTGGTAACTGTCCACGGATAGTT